TTCGGGCCATAGGGCTGGCTGGCTGGATGGAGGGTTGAGCTGGGGGGTCACCTAGGGGCCTTTTAAGCCTAGTCTTCAATGTTATGGCCCTGCAACAAACCGCTATGATAAAAATAAAAAGAAATGAAGGAATAGGCGCGTAAACATTTACATCTATACCAGTACTCTCAAGATTATTAGACAGACTATATTTAGACAGCAACAAAACCGAATTTGAGTGGGCATTAGCAGCCAACAGCAGATCATTGAATTTATTTCTTGTCGAGTCTCACCAACATGAATATTAATATAGATGGGTATTGGCCCATAGTCAACAAAATACATATTAGATGGGTGACGACCCAAATAACGCTAATTAATTAAGAAGGAAGGCTGTTGACTCCAACAGGAAGACATGAACTTGGATTGGTATTGAGTTCCGATATCACTGAGTACAAGCTGGAGAGCTATTAACCCATGATATACAGATTTGCTACAAATGGAGAGTGTCGAAAAGTATGGGGCCCGTAATGTCTTATTTTCTGTTCCTAAAACGCTCAAAAGGTCCGTGATGAGTCTTTGTGTATCGCAAGCTTGTCCGTCCATACAAATGAATATTGACATAAATGCATAGTGGTGTTATAATAAACACAACATACATATGTTTACACCTGTCATGGATACATGGGTAATATATGCATATATGGAGTATCCCGTAAGCAATATGCTTTTATGAGTTTCTTGTGGATTACTATCATGTAGTTTATTATTGTTTTTAGATCATTATCTAGTGTCAAAACAGTGAAAAAGCCAGGTTTACTCGTAAAATATGGGCCCGTAATGTCTTACACTCTCCTTAGGAAATATTAGAAGGCCAATGCCTTCGCATCAGAGAGAAGCAGCAATGTCGGAAAGCCAGAAGTAGTCAAACAACATGATGCATGCAAGGCCCAGCTGAATCCTAAAGATAACGTGGTTGCAGAAACCCCAAATTATGGAAACAGGCCCTTGAAAGTCAGATCCTCTAAAGCAGTTCATGGGTCAAGCCCACATATGAGATGATGAGCGCGACATCCAAACTGCTGAAATAAGCGGATGCCACGGATAGCCTTTGTTAGGGCTGCATGACGCCCAAGCCATCCCCGGACCCAAAAAATATTGACTCGTAAGCCTCTTCGAGAGGAGATGATGGCTGGCAAACCCCAAACCCTATGAATAATGGCTGGATCTTCAAAACTTTATATACCACAAGGCATGAATGACTTCGCACATGCTGAAACATCCGTCTGGCAGTCTGCACATCAACATCTTTGTTCGTGACTTCTCAACCGGTCGCCCATGATACATATTGAGTCTGAGTTAAAGGTTCTGGTTTTTATATATAAAATAAGAAGCATGTTTAAGACAATGATGGTATTTACATATATCTATACAAATGTATGTAAACAAGCACATGCACACACTCATGCAGCTTGGGTTCATGCATACCAAATTTTGTCGGTCCATACTAATCTGAATATAGTCTTATATATCCAAAAGCAACAGTTTGGGCATGTGAATGTCGCGGGCCAATAGCCAGTCAAATTAAAGCTGTTGTTGATGTTGTACTGGGCCGATAGCCATCCGAGTTCAGTTCGCTATTGTGGGCCAATACGCATGTAAATTCAGTTTGTTGTTCTTGTGGGTCAATACCCATCCAAATTTAATTTGTTTTTGTTGCCTTTCGATATGTATCAAAATTCAGTTTCACGTTATGGGCCGATACCCATCCAATTTCGATTTGTTGTTCTTGTGGGTCAATACCCACTGGATACCTTGCTAAAATCAAATTGCATCATCATGGACCAATACCTCCTGTACTCAGTGATATCGGAACTCAATACCAATCCAAATTCATGTCTTGATGTGGAGGTCAACGGCCTTCTTAATTGATTAAGTTTGTTTGGCTCGTCAAGGCCTCAGCATCTTCATCTGCTGGAACGTCAGTTTGTTGAAGACCGTGACAGTGTGTATTTACGAGGAACCCTCCTGAGTAATAAATCCATGTACCAAAACTCGAGAAAAACACAGGATTCCTCGAAAATACACGCCGCCACGGCGTATCAGTCTCTTAGAATAGGGTTTGGGCGTTTTTGAGTAGCGTCTTGGTGCATATATATATATATATAAAAGGAGCCCCAACACAGTATTGGTCATTATGCAGACCCCTGCATTCTCAGCTTGAGGCCTCAGCTCGTTGGTGCCTGCCACCTGCACGCCGAAGAAGAGATGCCTCAATGGCTCTTAAGAGAGCGGGTCGCGAAGGACACATCACATCGTATTATAGGGGCCTATATGCGGGTTTCCGAAAAGAGGGGACCCTAATATAGTACCCTAAATAGTAGGATCCTTATTATAAGGACCCCAAAGTAAGGTTCCGTAATTTCCGGAAACTCCCACATGAATAATTAAGTTGTATAAGTGAGCTGTGCACAAGAATTTGTAGAGTTGTACTACGGAGTCCCTGGGTGCATTATGTATCATCTAATATGAATAATATAGGGGCCTTAATAACTAGAATAGGGTTTTGGGGCCCATTGTACTAAAACCATAGCAAGGAACCCCCAAAATAGTATAGGTATTTAGTTAGGCCCCTACATGATAGGGACGAAAAGGGGTAGCATTACTCTACTCAGGTTCCGAGTTTAGGAGTTTAAGTGTAGGGCTCAGGATTTAACCCTAAACCCTAACGCCCTAAACCCCAAACCCTAACCCCGACCGTAAACCCTCAATGCTCCTAAACCCCTAAGGCCCTAAACCCCTAAACCCTACATGCTCCTAAAGGCCCTAAACCCCTCAACCCCTAAGGCCCCCGTTGTCTGAGACCTTAGGGCGCTGAGATGCAGGGGGATATCGACGAGCCAGAAGATCCAGGAGGCCTCAGGCAGCGGGGCTTTAGGGTTCAGAGGGTTGAGGGTTTAGGGTTGAGGGTTTATGGTTTTAGGGTTGAGGGTTTAAGGTTTAGGGTTCAGGGTTGAGGGTTGCGGATGTAGGGTGTAGGGTTTTAGGATTTAGGGTGTAGGGTTTTAGGATTTAAGAATCAGGGTTTAGGGCTTTAGCATGTAGGGTTTAGGGTTGAGGGTTTAGGATGTAGGGTTTTAGGAGTTAGGAATCAGGGTTTTGGGTTGAAGGTTTAGGGTTTAGGATTTAGGGTTGAGGGTTTAGGGCTTTGGGATTTAGGGTTTAGGATCTAAGGTGAATGTAGGAGCCTTAATAATTCGAATAAGGTTTTGGGGCCCATGATACTATAATTATAAGAAGGAACCCCCAAAACCCTATTGTAATTATTAAGGCCCCTACATTAGGGTTGAGGGTTTAGGAGGTTCACACTCAACCTCAAAGTTTAGTGGGAGGGGTGCTGGCGAAGGGTGCTACTTTGATTTGATGGTCTGTCGTGGCCTAAGATA